TAGTAGTTTTTGAGGTCCTGTAGATACTAAAAAACATAGTGGGTATCCTGGACTCGAACGACAGGTCGTGAGTGTCCCTTGTTAGTGTGCTAATTAGTACTGTGTGCTTCTGTGTAATAATTATTAGCTGTGATTTAGTGTGATTATCATATTCTGCTGTTTTTAATTATTCTGTGATTCATTGTGATTTAATGCCATTATCCATCTGGCGCAACGTGTCACAACAACTGTTATGTGAACACAAAATGACAGAGATCCCATTAAAACCACAGTATGGATGAATCAAATCATGTTACTAACGTCTACAAAATCTTGAGATATTCCAGAAATCCGGTTATCCCCCCCAGTAAAACGTAGCACAACCAGGTCGCCCCCGAGTACATGGTGTGATATCCCATCCAGCTTTCGAAGAGGTGGATTCCCACCTGAAATCCGCGATTACTTCGCTCCCCACAGTTCGGAATCATGGAGAGGATGAAGGGCGCCGTGCAAGGGGCGTAGATCAACAGGACGAGTTGTAGGATTGGGATGACACAAATTGAGAACTCCATTAGCCAGATGAAGGTCCTCATTACTTTGACGATTCCTGATTGCACGGAAATGTGGAGGAGATCTATTTCGTAAAAGCATTGTTTTTGTAAGCATTTGTAAGTATGGTTTGTGTAAGAAAAAACAATTTTGCGATATTAAAGAAAAATACGTTTTATTTCTACATTCATGTTTTTTTCTGATCCAACAAAATACCTTTTGCGAAATTAAACCTAGCTTCTTAGATACGTGAACCTGTCCAAAATTTCTGGAACTTTCCCAGAAAAATTTTCCACTCGAGTTTTGCTACATAAATAGTTTTATAACTAATTTCGCAATTATCATCCCAAACCAACAATTTAGCGATATTGGAGAAATCGTTTTTTGTAAAACCCATTATTTCTACATTTATTATTTGTTATGTAATTTTGAGAAAACTATATGTTGAAAAATAAAGCCTAACTGCTGAAATATCTGCGAATCTTCTCGTAGGCATTTGCCATGTCAATTCGGCGACATAATTAGGACGAATATCAATATTGTTATTGTCAATTGATCTTAACAATACGCAACTTTATATTGCTCTGTTTGCTGCTACATGTAGTGGTAAAATACTGAATAACTCGTTCCCTTTTTGGCACATATCGCCAAATATTTTGAACCACGTTCTGACAAATGATTAATTTTATTTATTTTTACGATTTAATGAATATCAATATTATGTAACCATTAATGATGTGCAAAGGCTATGATGCAATTAATCAATTAGTGTCGTTAATTAGGCCGAATAAATTATAAAAGCTCTATTTTCCGAACCTCTCAACGTCCCAGCCTCATACTCAAGGAGTAATTTTTTTTATAAAAAATTCACAGAAATTACTTTTTTATGTTTTTCTAAAATTTCTAAAGGCAAATCGAAATTGAATAAAAATTGGAAATTGAATAAAATGTATGATTCAGAAAAGTCTGACAGATTTCAATTTTACAGTTTTTAAATTAAATTAAAGCACTGGAAATTCAAGTTATACGATTTCAATTAAAAGTCTGGTGGATTAAAAATAAGCCAATTATAAAAGCTCTATTTTCCGAACCTCTCAACGGCCCAGCTTCATACTGAAGGAAGGAGTTGATCACCTGGATTGGTCCCGGACTGAGCTCGTAGTTCCACCGGGACACGGCGCCGATCAAATATGCCATGAGGAATATGGAACCTTGCAATTTTTCTGTCGTGCTCAACCCCCCAAGGAAAATGTTGGCCCCCATCGCGCCACAATACAGGGTGGAGAGGACGCACTGGAGCTTAAATTTGAACAGGGTATCCCCATTTTTTATGGGGACTAATCGCCCTAGATTTTCGCTGTACCGGAAAGGTATGCAGTTTAAGAATTTGCAAAATTTCAAGTGAAATTTAGGAATCGGAAGGAATTTAGCGGAGAACATTTTTGTCGAAGTCTTGGGTTACGTGTGAAAGGTAGAACTTTAGGATAAATATACCCTGTGGAAGCATTGATTTTATAAAGTATAGATGATTATCGATACCTGTCTTATCATGATGAGGAGCGTGGCAGGCTTAATTAAACGCGCAAGTTGTGTATTCTTAATTAGATCGAGGCGTGGGATAAAACCGTGTTGCAAAAATTATGGTGAAAACCAAATCTACCAGGAAGGTGGTAAAAATTGGAAAATCAGTCCAATTCGATAGTATTTCAATATTTCGAAGTGGAGCTTACATGGGTGGGAGATAGTGAATTTCGAGATGCCGACATTTTTAAGGCACACTATAAATAAAATTGTATCCGCCGGTGTCAATATATGTATGACGCAACAGCCTTGGTGACAATGTTGATTCCGAGGAGTGATGAAATCTTTCCGTCCGGTCATGGCAGAATAACCACTGGAACCAAAATCATATCAACTCGGAATCAATATTGTAACCATGGCGGTTACGTCATATATTGACACTGTCAATATATGACATAACCGCCATACATTTGACACCGAGGGTGTTGATCTGCTTAAATTGCTGTATTGAGTATATGTAGGATTTAAATTCTACTATCGAAATATCTAAATTTTCTATATGCAAGCCACCGTGAAAATGGGATTTTCTCCAGAATTGGGAAAACACATTTCTTATACAAGTATTGATTCAATCGAGTTTTCCAGTTAATGAGCAATGTATGTAGATGAACGATACATAACCTCCCAGTGTTATTGTGCGATAATTAAATCAAATCCAACCCAAGAAATAGGAGCAAGTCACACGTGGTGAACTCCATATCTTGATGCTCTTTTCAAGTGTTTAATGGTGTGCTATTTACGTAAATGATAAGCCAAGCCGATATGAATCGAGATCTCGTAACTATCAACTTCGAAATGATTAAATATAAGCCGAAGTCATCAGTTTTTGGTCTTATTCAGCTATTTGGACCATTTCATATTTTATTACTCCCTGTTTACCACATTTTGGTCAATATTCATATGAATCAAGTGATGAATATGTAGAATTTATGATACTTACAAGTCTCAAATTATTTTTAAATAATCAAGATTGTTATTTGGTTTACAATTTCAATGTCACTTCAATTATGTAAATATGCTCATTTAATCATTGGAGTTGTATAGTTTAGAGTATTATATAATAATTATTCTCTAGGGTTCACATCTAACAGTAAAAGCCAAGTTCATTGGAAGTTGCAAATGCAACACGGTAACTTCTCCAGTGGCTCCGTTTACGGCGTAATCAAACCAAGGATTACCATTTACATACATCAACCTAAATGGAGCATGTCCAAAGAGCCGTATGGTATCCATTCTTTTAGATCCCATTTCGGTATAACCTATTTTTTAAACATAATTTATATCTCATATTTACCATGAATAAGAAAATTTTGGCATTTTAATTGAATGAATTTTGAAAATACCGTTGTGGGCAACGGTGGCTGTCAAAGTTCCGTTGGAGAACTCGTACTCGGCCAAGTAGTAATTTCCAACAGTATGCGAATCTATGTATCAACAATATTACAAACAACTAACAATGCTATGGTGTGAAATGTAACTCCTCGATTTGGTTAAAATTTTGAAACGTGATCCGAGTCAATCTAACTTGCGTTTGTTGAGGAAATTTGTGCGATGGTCAGTATTTGTCAAAATATTTAAGGTTAAAGTTGAAAAATGGACAATTTTTACAAAGCGGAGGAAGAAAACCCCATTCTCTTCAAAGGCAAAAATCGTCAATTTTCAATTTTGACCTCAAATATTTTGATAAATTCCGACCATCGCACAAACTGCCTCAAGAAACATTTGCTGTATTGACCTGGACCACATAATTTCAAAATTTCAGCCAAATCGGAGGGTTACACTTCTCACCATCGCATTGTAAGTAAATAATTAAAAAATGCGACTTGAAATAGGTTCATAAGTAGAGGTCCCAATTACCAATCGTATCTCCCCCATCATCGTAAAACAAACTCCCTTTCGCCGACTGATTCTCGTCTAAAGCAATGATTAATCCGAACGGATTGTTCCGAGCCGATTGTGTCGTTCTTTCGGGATCTTGGGTTGGAAGAATGTTACCACCGTGCACATGCAGTGGAATATAATCCAAAGGTGCTGCTAATACCAGGGTCTGTCCTGGCGTGGGAACCTCCATTCCATCGTAATAGCTAAACCATCTCGATTACAGTATCACCTCGAGTCTGGTGTAAATGGAACAATGTATACAAATAGGGGAGCAGATTATATCTGATTCGTAGAGCGGTTCTTGTGGAATTCGCAATTTCTGGCCCAAACGCACCGGGATCTTGGTCTATGTTGAATATTCCATTGTGGTTACGTGAGAGTGGATAGAATGCTCCCAGCTGTGACCATCTTTGACACAGTTCTGGAGTGGAATTATCAATAAAACCACAAATATTTGAGCCACATAAGGGTATCCCGAATAAATTGTATTGTAGCATCCCAATAATTGAATAATGTAGGTTAGACCAGCGAGAAAAGTTGTCGCCGAGCCAATGGCCTAGGAAAATATCCAAAATATATCAAACACTGATAATGGGAATCCCCCAACGTATGCTCACAGATTTGGACCAAACTAGCCTCAATCGATCACAAATTTATTTCATATGAAATTTTCAAATGGAGTTATCTGCCAATGCTCAAGTTTAGCGGAAATATTTGCATAAAACGAGGGGAAAACGCACTCCCAGGGCTGGCAAATTGTTGTTGTCCAAACTTGCTGCGCATTTTTCCCGATTTGGATGCAAATATCTTCACCAAACCTGCGCATTGGGAGATAGTGCCATTTGCAAATTTCATGCTAATTATATTTGTGATCGATTGACGCTAGTTTCGTCCAAATCTGTGAGCATACGAAGGGATATCTCCATTGTGAGTGGTTGCCTTCTAATAAATATTTTCGTAATGTTTCTTTGAAATTATGTATTTCTGAATACCTGCCCAACGTCCAGAACCTAGAAACGTTGAGCGCGTAAGTACCAAACTTCTTTTGCCTGTCCCTTCAGTTGTACCCCTGTAATAAGATTAACGATTATTTATTACGTGCTCTATTAAAATTTGGTAAATCTTGCTTTTAATCATTTTTGATGTAACCTCGTCGTTGGCTCGGCTGAAACGTTTTAACAACAAAATATTAGAAAAAACGCCCTCTAGCAGAAAAGGGCAATACTAGTTTATTACATTGGAACCAGCCATACAAGGAATGGACGTCATAATGCTTCCCAGCTTGTTGTACACTGTCAGCGCAAAGGGTGAAAGACCACAAACTTCTTCCAGAAATTGCTAATAATTTAGAAACACTATTATTTATATTATACTAGCCTATAAGTCCGTCCTAAAGACGGGCCACACGAAATTTTTTAACGTTGCTAAGGGATTTATTAACGCGGCTAAGGAATTTGTTATGGCTGCTAAGGAACTTTTTGACGTTTCTAGGGAACTTTTTAAATGTTTCTAAGGATATTTTCGGCTTTGCTAAGGATTGTTTTATATTATTAAGGAATTTGTTTACGTTACTAAGGAATTTTTTTGATTAGGTTAGGCTATGTTAATCTGCTAATAATTAAGAAACACTATTATCTATGTATGTTATAGGTTAGTTGTTGAAAAAACTATCGGTAATATTTAGTTTACGTGGAAGGTATGGCGGACTGTTCCAATTATTCGACTCGCATGCATTATTATCAATACGAAAATTAGCTGGTTCATTCATGTCGATCCCAAGGCCATCATATTCAAGGAGTTCGTGAAACTTTTTAATTAAATAGATCCACCAATCTCTACAAAATTAAAATTAGACTTTATAAGTGAACACAATAATCAAATAATTGTGATCACACATGCTCAAAAAATAGTTATTTATTCAAAATTCATTCATTCAAAACCTTGAGAAAAAATATTTATTCCTAATTCACTCTTTCATAAGTTGTAAAAAATATATTCACTAATTATTCAGCATTTATTCATTGTTCACAATTCCTTTCCTTCATTATTCTTGTTATTCAAAATTCACAATATTAAATGAATTTCTCAACTTTCTCTAAGCATTGAGTTAAAAATGATGACAAAAATATTCACTCATTCATTATTCGTTCACACGAATTGAATAGACATTCACTCAATATTCATTTATTCAGAAATTAGAATAAAATATCCATTCAATATGCATTCAAGTTTTGAATATTGAATGCATAATTTGTTCATTGATTATTAAATGAATGAATGTGAGCATGTATGATTGTGATTTTATAAATTATGCACAAATGCGGAGGCACTTACTTTGTGGATTGTTTAGAATAGTCCGGGAAATAAGTTGGAGCGTTAGGAAGTCCCTTCACATTTTGGGATAAATTACATAAATATTTCTGAAGATTACAAATTAAATCATGATGAGTACCTTCCCTTCTTCAGGGGAACCATCCGCTCGTTTTACCCAAACGTCCATTGTCTGACCCAGTTCGAAAGGCTCGTATGACCCGGCCGGTTCACCAATGCTTATAGCTGGGTTCTAAATATTTGCGTATAGATATATGTATGTATGCATAGAATTATAATTAATTGTATCTCGGATAACAATAGCTGTCAGTTAAATTTAGTAAGCGTGCGTTTATCTTAAGGTCCACATGGGTGACGCATTGGGGCGTAATCTCACTATCTATCCCCAATGTCTTCAAAGGGCAATTTATAAAATTGAATCAACTCCATAAGTCTTGAGATAAATGTAGCTTTTGATATCTTAATCTAAAGCTAATTTTTGGTACTACAAACAAGTCGAGTTTAAACAAAATTAGCAATTTGGTTTGCAATTTTTTCACAAATGAATTTGCTAATTTTTGAAACTCATACAGTTTAAACAATTTTACATATTGCATTTGAAGACATTGGAGAGGGGTATAGTGAGATTACGCGCCAACGCGAAATAAATAAATATTGTAAGTTGACATACCAATATCGTCACGAATTTTATCCCTTTACTTTTGAGCTCTCTAACATATTCTGGAAGACCTGGGAAGTTACCTTCGGAATATGTGAAAACAAGTCCACGATCCTATGATATCATGATAAGCAATAGAGTTTGATGAAGTAAATATTCATCATTAAAAAAATTGTTTGAAACTATGTACAAATGTTTGTTAATAAATTACCATAATATCCATTTCGGCGTATTGAACGTCCTAGAATTTAAGTAACTACAATTATTTTTTTTATTCTGTATATACAGAATTTGAAAATTTGCGAAAATCAGTATACCTAGTCAGTCACTAAATTCGTTGATAAAAATTTTTTGGTATAGAAAAATAGCGGGTAAGTATTTTTATTTAAAAATTTACACGTGGATGCCTAAACTAGATATACATATATTACAAAAATACTAAGTTTCAAAATTTCGTCTTCTGGAGTACACGCACTTACAAAATGTGATGGTAAACTGATCGCTCGGATTACGCACGGTTCCCAGTGGAAACTTATCCCAAGCCTTGCGTAAATTTAACAAGGAAATTAAAGAATTTGCACTAAGCAAAAATCACACATACCTCTTGCAATAAGAAAATGCCGAAGATCTCATCCCCCTAAGTCTGTGATGGTTCGGATTGGAATTCATTTGCTGGAGAAAGCGAAACACTGTTTTTCTCCAGAAAGGTTTACAGTCCAAGTCAAGAGTTACATTACCAAAGTTGCAAAACGTATCGTAAAACCCTTGAAGTCTGGCCTATGGAAAAGTAGAAAATGAATTTCATAAAACGTCACAGCTCAGCCATATCAAGCAAAAGTTGTCAAAAATTGGCTATGAGCTCATTTCGACCATTTTTTTTGCCACAAGAATTCCTTCGGCAATAGCAGACCTTAATCATCTGGGGAGGTATTCAATTGTAATTTGCGGAAGGCGTAAGCATAAATTTTAATTCAAAATCTATGCTTACGCCTTGCGCAAATTACAATTGACTACCTCCCCTGGATTATGACTTGGGGCTTAAAATTGAGACTATCGCCTGCTCTAAAACATACAATGGTGCAGAAGTTCTCAAAATTTTTTACTCGACGGTTGTAACAAGTTTCCACTGGAGACCGCGCGTGCTCCAAGCGAACGGCCGCCCATCAGATTTCTTAAGTGTGTGTACTCCAGGAGATGAAATTTTGAAACTTAGTATTTTTGTAATATATACAGATAGTTTAGGCATCCACGTGGAAAATTTTAAATAAAAATACTTACCCGTTATTGTCCTATACTAAGAAACTTTTATCAAAGAATTTAGTGACTGACTAGGTATACTGATTTTCGTAAATTTTCAGGATAGAAAAATGAAGGCAAGTGCTGTTTGTCGTTTACGTGAGGAATATCATAATGCTCAGTTCGATCCACTGCTGATCTCATGTTTTCTATTGAATTGTATCCGTAACGGCTTAACTGAAAACCTATTTTATAAATTAGAACAAATTTGTTGAAAGTCATTTTAAGTAACAAGCTACAGTATATACATATACCTAGTCCCCAGTATGGAGGCATTGTTGAACGGCCGACAGTCTATTCATATGGGATCCAAAATATTTCAATAATTACACTCTAAATCAAAATGAGTAAAATTTCCTCAAGGTTGGTAAAAAGGAGTATGACGGCCTAATTTTGCCTCTTCCATCTTGTTAGTTGTGTCATCCTCTTTACTACCCAACCTTGAGTAAATTTTACTCATTTGAACGAATCAGACACTTCCGACATTCTAAAATTACTCGTTCAGTATAAGTACCTCTGTATATTGCTGCGCCGTATTTTCAGGGGTGGGGCCAAGAAAGAACAAGATATCCAACACCCCACCAATTGTAACATAACTAATCGAGCCTCCAGGACGCATTGTGAACTCTTGGGCGTTAGCGTTGATCAAAGCCACGGAATGTGCATTTCCATCCGATTCTAACAAATAAAGTGTTTCAACTTGGCAAATTTAAGCAAGTTATGTATTAACCCCCTTGAGACCATAATTCTTAACAAAAAATTCTCCTGTGATTTTAAATTCATAACTACATTTGGTAACAACCAATTAAATTGCCATTATTCTATAAAACACCTATTTATTTCAAACATTTTCCAACTTTGAAGTTTTTCGCCGAAAATCACGAAAAATCCACTTTTTAACATTGTTCGGTATAGGGAAAATTCCAAAATTTCTGAAGAAAAAAAGTTAACTTGTTTCCATCGAATTTTCCACAAAATACCAAAGGAACATTCGGATTTTGAGAAAATTTGTTTTTTTCGATACGTGATATGACGTATTTGGTCTCTTAAGGACGTATGTAGATACATATTTTGAAATATGCCATACATATGACGAATTTGGTCTAAAAGAGGTTAAATAGATTTTATACGCAATGCATGTATATACCCAAAACCGTGTAGTATGGTTGTACTCCATAAATGTTTACGGTGCCCTAAATATACAGTACACGTGACACGTTTGAATCATATTATCAACGTAAACATATGTATTCGTTATTAAATACTTCAGGGGTGTGATCCTGCGCCCATAGAGGATATATTTTATTTGCAGAAAAGTCATGTCGGAAGCTCGTTTGCTCGTTTTCTCCAATTCCATAAACGTTTTCACTGGGTAGTTGCCAACTCAAAGTGAGGTATTGATCGGCATAAATGAAATTGTTTTGGCCAATTGTCGTGTCAAAAAGCACCGTTCCTGTCGCCTTCCGACTGACCTTGAAAGAAAATAAAGGCGAGTTTTCGAACTGGAGTTGGTACAATGGGTTTTCGTTTCCTTCGGCAGGTGGTAAGATGTCAAGTGGTACTTCAAACCGGGGTGGCCCTGTGGGTGGAGTTATCTGAAACAAGGAAACCTAAATTATTGCATTTGTTCTATAAAATAACTACACTGTAAAAAAATCCAGTGCAAACACGCGAAAGTAATGATTTTGGTAATGATTTAATACGGGTTAGTAGATATTTAATACTGGGCTGTGCAAAACTGATAGTCAGTCAGTCAGTTTGGCGAAAACACTTCTGGCGAAAAAATTTCGCTATCCAAAATCCCATTTGGGAAAAAACGAATTTCGTGCATTTCCCTTTAAGCTGAATGTTTTCAAAGTACCTTTTGGCGAAAATTTAGCCAAATATAATTTTACGAGTTTACCGAATTCGCCAAATGTGACAATTATTTCGCACATTTGGCACCTTCATGACAATTTTGTACCACATTTGCGGAAAATAAATTTTTCGCCAAATTGGTTTTCGCTAAACTGGCCGTCAATCTCAAAACATTTTTACCAAACGTATACAAAATTATATTAATTTTATTACCAAGCGTGGTAGACTCATAAACAAACTCCAGTCTCACGATACCGGTTTGTTTTTACTTATTACCACTTTTCTAAGACTGTAATTCCATTAACTGAAAAGCAATTACCTTGATTCGTAATCGCCCATTGGATTGATATTCAGCTTCCAGAACTAAATTTTCAGCTTCACTGTCCCACCGACGTCTTCTACCTCCTTGACGTTGGAGTTCGACTCTGACTCCGCCAGGTGAATTAATTGGTTCGCCAACCATTATGTAGCCCACCCCAGCTTTAGAAACGTAGCACGATGGGTAAGGTGATGTGCCAGGAACTGGATAATGGTAATATAGGATTAATAAACCGTTACAACGAATATAACCAAGGGGTGAAAGCAGTGTGCTATCCGTCAAAATGAACACTACATAAATACATATTTATATTGTATTTGCCCGTTCAAAATCTGTTAAAATTGACATGTCTGACGTGTTTTCAACAATTGTGACATATCCATCAAATTTAATAGTTGATGACTTTCCTGTGACCATTATGACCTTTGAGGTCAAAATGGAGGTTATCATTGAATTCCCGGTTAAATTTCAGTTCAAATTGATGTATATATGCAATTTGACATTTGAATTACATTTCACGACCAGGCCCCGTTCTAGGCACTGTGGCGCCCTAGGCAAAACCATAATTGCGCCCCCACGTACTCGCACCGTCGGCGCTATATAATCCTACATAAATTTGCATTTTGTACTAACAATGCACGTCTTTCACGTGTAAAACTCAGATTTAATATGGTCAGCATGAAACCTCGACCATCACGTGCTCGTATCCTTCCCACACTGTTAGTATGGTAGGGATACGAACGCGGGAATCAAATTGTATGCTGAGAACTATATATAGTTCTCAGCATACAACCTCAGGCAAAATTTGATTCCCGCGTTCGTATCCCTACCATACTAACAGTGTGGGAAGGATACGAAAATTTGTCCACGCCCTGTATATATACAGGGCGTGGACTAGTTTTAGTTTCTTCACCACATAAAATAAGTAAGTATACCCGTACTTTTGTTTTTTATAATGCGCTAATTTGAACTCGAGGGGCGAATTTGATATTTTTGAAAGGTCGTGAATCACGACCTTTCGACCTTGATGGGTGTGACCTACAGTGTCCATCGTCGACCTCGTCCTGTCCTTTGATATTAGGAGCTTACGTTTATAATTTCAAGTCTTTATGTCTTTTTGTTCAAAAGTTATCGGACCAACGGACAGACGGACAGACATAAAAATCTTAAAGCACTTTCACCCCTTAATAAGTAGCACATGAAGCAATAAATTTAAAACAATATAACATTATACATACGTACCCGTTGGACACCATGTGCAATTTAATTGGTGACAAGTTTCTTCAACAGTATCTTGATTAGATCCGGGGCATTCTGTTCTATTCTCGTCCTCCTGGTAGTCATCATCGCATCCGTGACCTTGTCCCAAGACTGAAATTGTGATATACAAAATATGTATTTTTAATATCAGACTTTATAATTTAATCGATAATTTAATTAGATTATTGACTAAATTATAAAGTATTGTATTGGAATTGGCACATTGGTAATGCTTCTAGGGTTGAGAAATTTTATAAAGGGACATTTACAATTAATTCGTCTGGATTTACGGTTCAATTATTGTCGCTGCTTTATGTTTGTAGTATTTTAATAAGTGTGGCAATCGTTGTGTTCTTGTTGGAACGAGTACAATTCTATTTCAGAACCTTGCAAGCTTTGATTGGATGGTCACATTAAAAGTTAACCATAAAATTGCTTGTCCTGGCTGACTGAATCCTTTTATTTCGGTTAATTAATTTTCTTATCGTAATATAAAAAACAGGTGGGGTTTAACGTACGCGTATTAGCTCATGGCTCTTACATCTAGGCAGGATAGGTAGGACAGGTAGATGTTAACTAGGTAGGTTGGAATAGGTTCCATTTGGACAGTTATAATTGCATAATACTACTTATCATATCAGTAGCGCGAATGCAAATCACTGGGTTGGAGAAAACACGTATCACTCATTAGCATGTACCGTACGAGTCTTTAGCCTTATTCAGGCACGGACTATCCTCAAGTAGACAACTATCCAGTACACTGATGTTGATTTACCAAAAACTCCATCCACCACCCAATTTCGAACCAGGGTCCTCTGCGGTAAGAGATGGATGCCCTAACCACTCAGCTATGGGCCCGACTTCATTGTTATATAATTCTTGCTATTCTGAAACACTTGTGAAATTTGAGAAACATAATTTGAGAATATTCGAAGTTTTTTGAAGTGGGAACATAGGCGAATCCGCGTGAGGTGTAAAAGCGTACTGAAGTTATATAAATTTTAAAATATAAACATTCATTCTACTGGTTCGTTAAAAACGTAATAAACTATAACAATTTCTAATATTCTTTAAATTCCGTGAGCCGGTCTGAATAATGCTTTCTACATATGTAGCTATCTAGTTTATGCTGGTAGTTCTTATGTATTCATAGGAAAAGAGAAAAGTTTTGCAAGCAATAAAGGCTACAGGAAATTGGCATAAATAAAAAAATTATTATTATGCATTTCACAATAGGTAATTACACCGGAAGGGGACCCTTACATACAAACCCTAAGCTTGGAGGGAAATATGTTCCAATTTAGCTTGCCTAAGGGGGAATAGTTGTCTACCACTCCCTCCCAGAATTTGATTCCCGTAGGATATTTTGTAGTACCCCATGAGTGAACAAAAACCGCCAAAGGACTTTACCCCATAGCCCAATTTGCGCATGGCACACCCATTCAAATGTACACCAAACACAATCTAAACTTGATTGAAACCAACGCAAAAAATTTAATTTTGCTCCGAGTTTGATAATTTTTGCTTATTCTTGATCCTCTAGATACATAGTTGCTTCATCGGAACGGATATCAAAATAAGCTTTTTGAAATTTTTATTTTTTTAATAGTACCTGACAAGCAACAACACAAAATATCCAAATGGCATCAAAATCTGAACGGGAGTGGTAGACAACTACTCCTCTGAAGTATACTCTTAAGTATACTCTTGGGTATAATTTTAAAGAAATACAAGTTGGTGAATAATGACATGTTGCTTTGTACAAAGTTAATACTTTAAATTTGCTACCAAATACCTTACCTTACACACGTAGTTATCTTCACGTAGCCAGTATTTTGTTAAGTTCACCTTGCCTTTAAGCAACAAATGGAACATATCTTGATATTGAGACCGGATGGAGTACTCCATTCAGATCTTCAAACCAGTGTAAATATTCATCAGGTTTCTTGAATTTAACAATATTTACATACATACATATATGTATGTAGATAGCAAAATCGTTTAAGTTGCTCCCACTTAGAGCTTCTCAACGAACGTCCCCTCATAAGTCTTGTATCCACATTTTGTGCACAGATTCAGTTATTACTCAATTACAATGTTGTTTATTAAATTTTCCTCTATTTCCATCGTGATTTATTTTATTACCACAACATCCTCCCTGAGTGAAGCTACATTGGAACACAAAATCCTTAAAGATCAGTTCCTAATAGATTTTCCAAGTACTTTCCAGCTTACCAAATACCTCCACCCCTTTGAAAGCTGCACTACCCTGATTTTTGTCCATACCAAATTTTCTTAAAAAATATTCATTCCTTATTTGTAAAAAAAATATTCATTACTTGTCAACCTGTTTTCATTATTCACAGTTCTTTCATTATTCATGTTATTCAAACTTCACAGTATTATGAATTTCTCAACTTCCCGTGTATTGAGTTAAATATGAAGGATGCAAAAAATATTCATTCACACAAATTGAATATATATTCACTCAATAATCATTTATTCAAAAATCAAAATAAAATATTAATTCCATATTAATTCTAATTTTGAATATTGAATGAATAATTTCTTCATTCAGCACTAAATAAATGACTGAACATGTATGTGCCACAGGCGTCCTTGCTCCGCCTGCCCATACACAATTTTGGCCCCTCGCAAACATAATATTCGAGTGATATGCATATAGTCAAAGAGCTAGAAGTAATACTATGTTTCTATTGGTGTAAATGATAAATACTGTATTACTATTTGGAATTATGCAGACAGGTGGGTTAGGATAGATTGTATCGTATTTCATTAAGACAAATTTATAGCAAGATAACGTTATTGGAAATTCTCCCTTCAAAGGTGCAGATGTATGTCATAACATCATTAGTTGTGAAAAATGTTTGCAATTGTAATACTTCAAAAAAATTGATCGAAAAACAACTCGACTGATGAAGTATTGAGAGATTTAAAATCCTTGTAATTCTAGTCCAAAAATAGATTTTAAAGTAATTGTCAGTAACGTTCAAGTTATTTTGTGTATTCCTATATGGTAAGGTTTTTGGAGTTTGATATGTGTTAATATATACAGCTCAATTCGCTGAAGTTATCCTATTGATTTGGAAAAGCATTTTTGCTTTAAATAATTTATTACTAAATAATAATTTATAATAATAATAATTTATTATGTTTAGACCTGCATCACGTAAAAATTTGAAGATTTGAATTTAAAAACTGGACATTAGATCTGGTGCGGTGAATACCATATCTACTGGCAGTGAGAAAAAATGAGCAAAAGCTCGGTGTGTTGGAAGAGAGTCACCGGTTAAATTCAAGTTCGACGTCATTCATGTTGAAATATGCATGTTAACAAAGTTTTCCATATTTATCAATTTTTAAGTTTGTCGACTTTTATGAGGGCTGAGCATTTTCCAACCTTTTTCCCAGGACAAGGGATTAAAAGGGTCCTTTTGTTTTTATGCCTCATTAGAAGGGACACTTCGTTTGAGCATAACTCTGCGTAGTTTGTATGGTCACTTCTGACCACATATTATTACATATGTATGAATGTCTCCTATGTACTGTCAAAACCTTAAAACCAAGTTGTTTAATAAAAATCACCATCAGTCTAAAAATATCTTCCAGCGAGATCATTTTTACTTTCATGGTAGCAAAGCCGTTAGTTTGTATGATTCATATTGTTCATCTCAACCTGCCTCATTGAGTGTCTCAAAAGTGCCCCAGTCTCAGAGTCTGTTAAAGTCTCACAACGAGAAGAACTGTTTCCTGTTCAACACTTGATAAACTGAAGTAGATCAGTGTTATTGTTGTGAAGTGAAAAGGTCAATTCATCAGTTAATAATAGCAGTAAGTCTCCACTGCCCAGTGCCAGTCTGGAC